AACACACTGTGTCGAGAATTGGAAGAAGACATCGAAATGATGAATAGTAACCGGAGCTTGGTTATCTGCAATGTGAATAAAATAAATTGGTAAATAGAATGCTGGATGAAGGTGATTATTTCGACAATAAATGATCATTTAGGTTAATTGATTGTTATAGAGTTATTCACTGTGAGGGCTGTGGTCGATTTCACCTGGAGAGCTTCTCGAATGGAGACAGCTTCAAATGAGAAAAAGTGACAGCGTAGTTGGGTTTCACCGTATGATGTGCAATCTTCCGAAGGTTGCCTGCAGCAGCGTGTTGATGACGTTCTGACAATACGCTTGCAGTTCAGAGACTTGACACACTTCAAATGTTGCACGCCGTTATTGGACTCTTTCTTATGCGCTTATGGCTCGGTTAGAATAATCGCAAATGCTGGGGTACTTCGCCGTCCAGTTTAATTTCACTCAGTCACTCACTTGACTGCCGTATCTGTACTTGGCTCAAGAGAATCAAATCTATTTTCAAGAGAACAAGCACAACAACATTGTGGACATCAAGGTTGGGCCGTGCGTTCGTTTCACACGGTATCACGAAAACCTGTGAGCTGACTGAGCAAAGTTGTTATCGAAAACAACTCGAAATCTCATCATATAACATGGTTTGTGCCAACCACATTTTCCAATTTGAAATCAATCTTCATTGTCTCAAACCATATTTCGAAAATTTCAAATATCCATCATTTTCAAAACACTCATATAGCGTGATAAACATTGGAGTGAATTAAATTGGTTAGTTTAATAAAAACTATAAACATTGACAAGTTCAATTTTGAATCGAAGTACATCATTAAAAAATATGTTGACATACTTCACCTCCATCAAAATTCACAATCTTTCGATGCGAATAACAACATGCTAAACTACAAAACATGCAAATGTCAAATCACTGCATATTTTGATTAGATAAACTAGATCTTGTTGAATGTCTACACTGATTTAGTTATCTTGTCTCATTCACTCATAGACAACACAGTGAATAAACGTCCTTCATTACTGCACATAATTCGGCTACAATAATTCTAAATGTGGTTTAAGCGTAATCTACAATGAGATTTGCTGGGTAAATGTATCACTACAGCCATGCTATGCCAAATGAATAATAGCTGAAACGTATCGACAGGCAAACTCCTCCATTGATGGTAAATTGTACCATACTGATATGCTCAAGACCATCAATTAATCGACCCTTTCAAGTCCGAGTTGGACACGATAAATCGTAGACCGTGAGAGATGCCTACAGAAGATAAGCGAACACGCACAGAACAATCAGTATTGTGGTAGTTGGAGTGTCCTACCTAGATGGAGGTAGTCGGGATGGACCTCAAGAACACGATATGCAACAGTGGCATTGGTCATCACACATCGTTAATATTCACATCACCACAGTGATTGGCAAGTTCAAGTTACCTAGTCCTATACACATCACGACCATTGAGTCTCCGCACCTGGTGGCGTTGAACTCCTGAAACCGAAACGACCTAGCTGAGCTATCCATGCTTGAGATATATGGAAAAACGATATCTGCAGTACCACCACATGTTGGGAATCTCCACCTAAATCAAACAGGCTACACCATAAACACCCCATCAAACACACCTTAGTGCCTGTTGACCTTGGTCAATAACCCACCGAACACAACATCGAGACAACGATCTCTTTGATGGTCAAGGCTACTCGAGAGCAGAGATGACACCGTCTGTCCAATTTATTCCGAAGAAAACAACACCATTATTAGAA